CCAACATTTAACCCCTGGCTCCCCAGCGGCCGCCGTAACTCTGGGCAGGACAGCCCGCCGCCCAACGCAGCTCAGCCATCCCCTTCTCCGGCCTGTCAGCCCCACTCCGCTGGCCCAGGGAAGCTGTGCCGGGGGCAGGGGGTGACTATGGGGTGAGGGCTAATACCACTCAGGCCTCTTCTGCTGAGGCCTGGGGTGTGTCGAGGGCAGCGGGTCTTCTCAGCTTCCCCCAAGCCACGGTCAGTACTCCCGGGGAGGCCCAGGAGGAGGAATCCCAAAGCCACATGTGAAGCTAGGGTGTACTGCAGTGGGGGGCGCTGAGCATGGACCAGGAGGGGCCGCACCTTCGGCCTGGCTGGCTTGGGGGGGCTCAGGCTCAGGGACAGCTTGGGGGTGCAGTGTAGGCCAAGGGGTGACTTTATCAGGCCCAGCCTGAGCCCTGGAAAAGCCCCTCATCTCCCCTTCTTCCCGCCTACCCAGAGCGTCCGTGGGGGTGCCTGTCTCCTCCCTACCTGGCATCTCACACGTCCGTCTCCGTGAGAAGCCCGTCTGGGCAAACGCCCGTTTTTCCAATGAGAAAGTTTACAGCAGCATCAGGACCGCTGGCCTGCCTCCCAGCCGCCTCTGCCTGAATCCAGCGGGTCAAAGGGTCAATAACCACAGCTCTCCCACCCAGAGTCCCTCTTGGCCCCACTCTTAACCCTTTACTGCCTGGGGTGGGCGAGGGCTGCCCCACCCCATGCCGAGGCTACTCCTTGGGCCTGGGATTAGGAGACGGCATCCCCCAGCTGCAGGGACCCCCATTCACATCATCGGGTCAGTAGCCACCCCAGCCACCCCTCAGACCCATCTGCCAGCGGCCTCTTGGGCACTGCTGGTCCAGGGGCAGTGGCTGCTGAAGGCAGGAGGGAGCCCTCGATCTGGGGAGTGGTCTCCAGTCACCGGGTCCCCTCCATCAGCTCTCGTGCTCTGAGGGAGGCCTGAGTCACATGTTTCCCCCTAATGCTGGCCCTTCAAGACAGCCCTTCCCCTTCCCCGACATGACTGGTTAACAAGCAGGACCCTCACCCAGCCTCCACCCCACCTCAGGGCTTAGCCAGGGCGGGAGGCAGCAGCCCGTTTTACAGATGGGAAAACCCGTGGCTGCCCGTGGCTGAGGGCGTGAGCTGTATGTGTGAAGGGGCTGGTCCCATGGGCAGATCATGGGGCTGAGGGTGTAGCACAGGGGTCTGTGGGCCAAGTGCAGACTGAGGTCCCACAGCAGCATAGAGGCTGGACCCAGCCTCCGCCCAGCCCCTGGACATCAAGGAGGTCACTCTAAGTCACACTCATATCTGACCCGCAGCCCCCAACCCAGGGAAGGCGGGGGTGGCCCTCACCCCTCCGAAGAGCAGCCAATGCCAGCCTCCAGGGCATGACAGAGCCCCCCACACCAGGTAAGTCCCCAGGAAGCCTAGGGTGCTCTGTGTAGCAGCAGGGGCCTGGCCGACCGGAGTGCGGCTCACAGGCCCGTACACGCCCGCCCGTGTGGCCAGGACCCCACGGTAATGGCTGTAACAACCTGAAATCCGTTGCCATCGAGTGGATGCCAACTCACATCACTAACCGGTGTGTAATCGCCCGGCTCCCACCACCCGGGGCGGCCCTTTGGGGCTGTCAGTTCATGGGGACCAGCTCTCAGGCGCCTGCCTCCTACATAAGCAGCCACTTGGTGAGCGGATGCAAACGGTGCCCGCGGAGGGGTGCCAGCGGGAGCCCTCTCAGGACCTCCCGCGGACCCCATACCACGGTGAGGAGCGCGCACACCTGGCTTCCCGCCCGAGGTCCCTGTGATCTTAGGCGAGTTCCTGGTCTCTGGTGGCTGTGACGGTCAGAGGTGGGGGAGAGGGTGAGCCGAGGCGGTCAGTGCGGGCGCCCCACGTGGCCACCACCTGGCCAGCCGCTCCAGCCTGCACCACTTGCGCCCCTGCTGCTGGGGCTCTGGTACAGCCCCGGGGCTAACGCAAGGGACTCGGCCGGGCCGGGGCAGATTTTGCGTCTAGAGGCCCCGTTGTAGCTGACTCACGGCCGGGGAAGCCCGATCCGCCCGCGGAGCCTCAGTTTCCCCATCTACGCAATGGGCGGGGTCAGGGCGCGGTGGGTGGGCTCGGCCCTGGGCGCCCGGCCTGGCCTGCTTCTCACCCCTACCCCAGGCGGGGGCGGGGCTCCCGGTGGCGGCCCAGGTGGGGCGGGGCCG